TGGCTCAGCAGTTAAGAGCACTGGTTGCTCTTGCAGAGGACCCAAATTCAACTCCCAGCACCCATATGGTAGCTAAACCGTCCGTAACTCCAGTTTCTCTTCTAAACTCCTTAGGCATTGCATGACACAGGTACACTTACACACAGGCAGGCTATATACTCATACACATAAAATAAAAACAATAAATAAAATTTTTTAAAGTCAGATTCATACAAAACAGAAGGTAGTGCAGGCCTGTAATTCCAGCATTCGGGAGCTGAGGCCAGCCTGCACTGCATAGCAGACCCTATCTAGAGCCTTCCCTCAAATGAATAAAAAGGGATGGAGGGAAGGAGGGAGGAAGGAAGGGGATGCCAGTGGCCTAGGACTGAGGGGTAGAAGAATCAAAGAGCCAGGAGACTTCCAGATAGTATGAGTAAATCCTGTGGATGCACTATGCAACATGGTGACTATATACTAATATTGTGTTATGTCCTGGAAACTTGCTTAGAAAGTAGATCTTAAGTGTTCTCACTATAAAAAACAAAAATGGTAATTGTACTGGTGTGGGCATGGTGCAGCTACTCTGGAGGCTGAGGCAGGAGGATTGAAAGTTCAAGACCTACTTCAGCTCCAGAGTGAGTTCAAGGCCAGCCTGAGTCATTTAGTGAGTCTCTGTTTAAAAATAAAAGTAAAAAGGGAGGACTGGGGTTATAGCTCAGTGGTAGAACACTTCCCTAGCATGCCTGAAGCCCTAGATTAATCCCTGGTAGGGGGTATGAGAGAGTAACTCTGAGAAGTGATGGATATATTAATATTGTTTGGTTTGGTTTTAACTAATTGATTGAAGTAATCATTTCATAAGATATACCTATATCATCAGGGCATGGTAGCCCAGGCCTATGATCCCTGCACTTGGAGGGAGGAGGATCAGAAGTTCAAGATCATCCTCTACTACATAGTAACTTCAAAGTCAGCCTGGACTATATGAAACCCCATCTCAAAAAAAAAACAAAAAAAAAAACAACACCCAATCATCATATTGTATAGCTTAAACATAAAGTGTAATATATCTCAGTAAAGCTGGAAGAAAATAGAGATAACAAGAAAAATGGGAAGTTTTTAGCCCCTTTCTTATGTAGGTACCTGTACTACTAACTCTTTTTTATTTCTGTTTCTTTTTTTTTTGTTATAAAGTTTCCCCTACATACTGGAAAGTAGAGATATATTGATGAACACTTACCTGCCTAATTTTAATAGTTCCTATAGTAATGTTTTGCCATTATAGTGTAGTATATTTTTTGTTAGTGTCTTTTGAATTGCACACACCATGACACTTGCCCTCTAAAGACTTCTTTAAAAAGTTAAGAGAGCCAGGTATAGTAGTGCATGCTTTAAATCTTGCACTGGGGGAAAGGGGATGGGCAGATCTCTGTGAGATTGAGGCTAACCTGGCCTACATAGCGAGTTCCGGGCCAGCTGGGGCTATATAGTTAGACCCTGTCTCAAAAATAAATAAATAGGGGCTGGAGAGATGGCTTAGCAGTTAAGGGTACTGACTGCTCTTGCAGAGAACCCAGGGTCAATTCCCAATATCTACATGGTGGCTAACAATCAGCCATAACTCCAGTTCCAGGGAATTCAACCTCCACTCTGACCAACTTGGGCATTGCATGACACAGGTGCACTTACATATACTCAGGCAATACACTCATACACATAAAATAAAAATAATTAAATAAAAATTTAAGGTACTTATAAAAATAAATAAATTGGGGTTGGAGAGGTGGTTCAGTGGTTAAGAGCACAGGCTGCTCTTGCAAAGAACCCAGATTTGATTCCCAGCACCCACGTGGTGGCTAACTATAATCCATAACTCCAGTTCCGGGGGAATCTGATGCCCTCTTCTGACCTCCAAGGTCACTTACATACATGTAGGCAATACACTCATAAACACAAAATAAAAATAATAAATAAAATATTTTAATAAAAAATGAATAAATGGAATTTCCTGTGTAACCAAGATGCTATTACCATACTTAATAAAATCCAAGTCATTTTTACCCTGCAGGACAGGGAGGCCCTACCGTGACAGGCAGAGCAACTACCCTACAACCTATTAGAACACTTGGAAACAAATATGCAAGATTAGGTAAATTATGACATCTTAATATTGTAATTTCTGGAAAATACTTTTAAAAATTATGATCCATGAACACATTTCTACAATATCACTTAGTTTAAAAATGTATCTTAAGGGCCAGGCGTGGTGGCACACGCCTTTAATCCCAGCACTTGGGCGTCAGAGGCAGGCAGATCTCTGTGAGTTCAAGGCCAGCCTGGTCTACATAATGAGTTCCAGGACAGCTGGGGCTACAGGGAGACCCTGTCTC